TACTTCGTAGAATTGCTTATTCAGGGTGACTCAAAGAAATTAATGAATGGGGCAGTTCATTGAACGATTTCATTTTCCCGAAAATTTTGTTATTTTTTTGACATCACACTCTTTCAGTTTTTCGTTTCTTCAGTTTTTCGATTTTTTGATCTCATTTTTAATTTTTCGAATTTGCATCTTTTCTAATCAAAATGGAACAATGAAAAACCAAAAAAATTATAAAATGAAAACTTTGAAAAATTTTAAAAATTGAAAATTAAGCAAAACTGAAGAAACGAAAAATTGAAAAATCCAAAGATTGAAAATTACAGAAATTGGAAAATCGGACATTTCGAAATCCAAAGATTACAAAATTGAAAAATCGGGGAAACGCAAAATCAATAATTGAAATTTTCAAAAATAAAAAAAATTGAAAAATTAAACTAAATACATTTTCTTGTTCATTTCGGGCCGCAGAAGACATTTCCGCTTTCATTTCTTCGATAACTCCAATGGTTCTTCCAGAATCGCCCTTTGAAATATATAAAAATAGGCAAAATACGACTAATTTTTGGGCCAATTTTCACCGAATTCACTGAATACGGACCAATTTTGAAAATTCGAAACAAAAGACAAATCTGCATTTTTCTCGCTTATTTGAAAAGATACGTCAAAAGCGAATACGGAATCGTGATCCTGAGGAAATTCCGCGTGAAATGACACCCAACATGGTCGAAACGGAATAATTTTGAAAAATTCGAAAACAAAAGGGGGCAGACAAATTTGCATTTTTCTCGCTTATTTCAATTGATACGGGAAAAGCGAATACGGTATCGTTATTCTGAGGAAATTCCGTGTGAATTGACACCCTACATGGTCGAAACGGACCAATTTAGGAAAATTCGAAAAAAACGGGTGGCAGACAAATTAGCATTTTTCTCGCTTATTTGAAAAGATACGTCAAAAGCGAATACGGAATCGTGATCCTGAGGAAATTCCGCGTGAAATGACACCCAACATGGTCGAAACGGAATAATTTTGAAAAATTCGAAAAAAAAAGGGGGCAGACAAATTTGTATTTTTCTCGCTTATTTCAAGAGATACGAAAAAGCGACTACGGAATTGTGATCCTAAGGAAATTCGGCGTGAAATGACACCCAAGATGGTCGAAACGGACTAATTTTGATAAATTCGAAAAAAAATTTTGAAATTTCACTAAATACATTTTCTAATAGATTTCCAGCCGCAGAAGTCATGTCCGCTTTCAATTCTTCGATAACTCGAATGGTTTTTGCAGAATCGTCCATTGAAACATCGAAAAATATGCAAAATCCGCCCAATTTTCAACCAATTTTCAACAAAATTTTCGAAATTTCATTAAATACATTTTCTTGTAGATTTCGGGAGGCAGGAGTCATTTCCACTTTCATTTCTTCGATAACTCCAATGGTTCTTTGAGAATCGTCCCTTGAAATATACAAAAATATGAAAAAATTTTGGACCAATTTTCAACAAATTTTCGAAATTTCACTTAATTAATTTTCTTGTAGATTTTGGGCCGCAGAAGTCATATCCGCTTTCACTTGTTCGACAATTTGAATGGTTTTTCCAGAATCGTCATTTGAAGCATTGAAAAATATGCAAAATCCGCCGAATTTTCGACCAATTTTCAACAAAATTTCAACAAAATTTTCGGCATTTTACTAAGTACATTTTCTTGTAGATTTCGCGCCATAGAAGTCATATCCGCTTTCACTTCTTTGATAACTTGAATGGTTTTTCCAGAATCGTCCTTTGAAACATTGAAAAATATGCAAAATCCGCCCAATTTTCGACTAATTTTCAACAAAATTTTCGAAATTTTATTAAATACATTTTTTTGTAGATTTCGGGCCACAAAAGTCATTTCCACTTTCATTTCTTCGATAACTGCAATGGTTCTTCCAGAATCGTCCATTGAAATATATAAAAATATGCAAAATACGACTAATTTTCGGCCAATGTTCAAGGCAACTTTCGAAATTTCACTAAATAAATTTTTTTGTAGATTTCGGGCCACAGAAGTCATTTCGGCCAAATTTCACCGAAAGTTTCAAAATTTCACTAAATACGGACCAATTTTGAAAATTCAAAGAAAAGTCAAATTTGCACTTTTCTCGCTTATTTCAATAGATACGTCAAAAGCGAATACGGAATCGTTATCCTGAGGAAATTCTGCGTGAAATGACACCCAACATGGTCGAAACGGACCAAAAAAAAAGGGGGACCAAAAAAAGGGGAGCAGACAAATTTGCATTTTTCTCGCTTATTTGAAGAGATACGTCAAAAGCGAATACGGAATCGTTATCCTGAGGAAATTCCGCGTGAAATGACACCCAACATGGTCGAAACGGACCAATTTTGAAAAATTCGAAAAAAAAGGGGAGCACACAAATTTGCATTTATCTCGCTTATTTGAAGAGATACGCCAAAAGCGAATACGGAATCGTTATCCTGAGGAAATTCTGCGTGAAATAACATCCAACATGGCCGAAACGGAACAATTTTGAAAAATTCGAAAAAATAGGGGGACAGACAAATTTGTATTTTTCTCGCTTATTTGAAGAGATACGTCAAAAGCGAATAGGGAATCGTTATCCAGAGGAAATTCCGCGTGAAATGACACCCATTATAGTCGAAACGGACTAATTTTGAAAAATTCGAAAAAAAAGGGGAGCAGACAAATTTGCTATTTTCTCGCTTATTTCAAGAGATACGTCAAAAGCGAATACGGAATCGTAATCCTGAGGAAATTCCGCGTGAAATGACACCAAACATGGCTGAAACGGAAGAATTTTGAAAAATTCGAAAAAAAGGGGAACAGACAAATTTGCATTTTCTCGCTTATTTGAAGAGATACGTCAAAAGCGAATACGGAATCGTAATCCTGAGGAAGTTCCGCTTGAAATGACACCCAACACCGTCGAAACGGACCAATTTTGAAAAATTTGAAGTAAAAGGGGGCAGACAAATTTGCATATTTCTCGCTTATTTGGTTATATGGTTCTTCAAGAATCGTCCTTTGAAATATATAAAAATATGCAAAATTTTCGATCAATTTTCAATAAAATTTTTTTCAAAATTTCACTAAATACATTTTCTTGTAGATTTCCGGCCGCAGAATTCATTTCCACATTAATTTCTTTCATAACTCAAATGGTTCTTACAGAATCGTCCTTTGACATATTCAAATATATGCAAAATTTCCCACCAATTTTCAACAAGATTTTCGAAATTTCATTAAATACATTTTCGTGTAGATTTCGGGCCGCAGAAGTCATTGCCGCTTCCATTTCTTCGATAACTCAAATGGTTTTTTCAGAATCGTCCTTTGAAATATATAAAAATGTACAAAATTTTCGACCAATTTTCAACAAAATTTTCGAAATTTCGCTAAATACATTTTCTTGTGGATTTCGGGTCGCAGAAGTCATTTCCGCTTTCACATCTTCGATATCTCCAATGGTTCTTCCAGAATCGTCCTTCGAAATATACAAAAATGTACAAAATACCACCAATTATTGGACCAATTTTCAACAAAGTTTTCGAAATTTTACTAAATAGATTTTCTTGTGGATTTTGGGTCGCAGAAGTCATTTCCGCTTTCATTTCTTCGATAACTCCAACGGTTCTTTCAGAATCGTCCTTTGAAATATATATTTTGCAATTTTTGGATTCCTCAGTTATCCGATTTTCCGCTTTCTTTAATTTTCAATATTTCGATTTTACAATATTTCGTTTTTCGGATGTTGTACTTTTTCTATTTTTAGGTTTATTAGTTATTATTAAACTTTCGATTTTTCAATTTCCAATTTTTTTATTCATATCATCATATCATATCATGTTTTCATTTTATACTTTTTCGTTTTTCCATTTCTTATTTTTCAGTTTTACAGATTTTCAAAAAATAAAAAATCTTTAATAATTGAAAAATCGAAAAAGTGAAAAATCGAAAAATTAAAAGCAGAGAAACTAAAAATTAAAAAATATTAATGAATCGAAAAAATTTAAATTGGAAATTGAAAACACGACGAACTCAATCGAAAAATTACAAAATCTAAATACTGAAAAATTCAAAAATTGTAGAAGTGAAGTTTTCAAAAAAGCGGTATTTTTTGCTACCGGAAATAAAAATAAGCTAACTTCTGTCAAAAAATCGGTTGTCGAGATTGCTGGAGACGGCGGGCTAAAACCAATTTATGTTTTAATTATGTTCGTAAATTTGCCAGAGTTGTGTCTATTTTCTCCGTAGGGATTCATAAATCACTGACTTATTTGCGCAAATCTCTGACTTCCAAACCAACATTTGCTGAAATCAGTTATTTTCAGCAGAAATGGTCTGTGTATGTTTAATGAACTAGTGCAATTGCAGAAGTACTAAGTGTTCTACGACGTTCAGTTTTTCTAAACTCTGATTGGTTTAGGTTTAGCTTTACTGACGGACAGATTTATTAGAGAATCATTTTCAGTCAGATAGTGCAGCCGCAGACTTTCCTTGAAAATTAATTATTACTGAACTTGACGTTATAATTATTATTTCTTTTTTAAATTGATACAAAAATATTATAGCTCGACACCACGCGACATATTTTTCCGGAACTATAATAAATAACTTAATAAACATCAAAATGAAAATTATACAATCAAATACTAGTGAATTACGATTGTGAGGGAACAATAAACGGTGAAATATAACGTTGATTATAAAAGTGAAAATGAAGCCCTTGGTACCACATAATAGATTCCAAACTTTTAAAACAAGAATGGTGGAGGCGCCGGGCAACACGTAAAATATATTAGCGGCAATTTTCCACCAAACTTTATTCAATTCCTTGCTTCACTTCCCGACGAGTTTATCACAAAAACGCTTTCCGCATCAATATGCTTCTAAAAAATCCTCACCGAACCAGTAGTTACAAACTTTTTTGGTTTTGAATTTGTACAACAATACGAGAACACAATTTATAATAATATGTACAAACCTGTCACATGAGATTCCAGTCAATGTGAAAACGCTGGCTGCAACCGTGGCATTCGCAATAAAGTTGCTGATAATACAATAGAGACTCCCAAACGGCCAATCTCTGTAAAATAAAGTTTGTTTAATTAAAAAAAAATTCATCCTTCCCTGAACCATTAAATAACATGCATATTAATATTTTGTTTGAGAATAGTTTGCCAACGAAACTTTCAGTGCTTTGAAACACTTTCTGTTTCCACAAAATTTGAAAAGGAATTTATTAATCGTCGAACTAAATCATTATGCACGAAATGAATGCCGTTTTGAGCAAATATGTGCGTAAAATATATTTCCGGAACTTCGTGATATTGTTGCTTTAACCGGAAACCTAAAACTTTCAACTTTGCCTAACTTTGGGATCGGGCTTTGCAATTAATAATTTTCACTCAAGTCAGTGTTCTAATAACTAGAGAGCGGATTTCTAGGTTTAATGCTTTTTGTGAAAAATGTAAGCACTTCAAAACTTTTTTATATCTGTAACTATGATACAATTTGGAGTCATTTGACACATTTTTTTATGCTTATTTGCTTTTTTTTCAATTTTATGCATATTAAAATTTATATGCTTATTTAATGCTTTTTTCGACGAATATGAGTTTTAATGCATATTTTGTTCAAATGCCGGCCTTGTCGGGATGGTAAATACTTGTTAGTTAGCCGTATCGTATCGTATGCATTTTACCTGGACTTGACCATTGAAGTACACTTACTCAAGACCCTTTCTGTGAATAGGTTCCGTTCGTTTGGGCAATACAATTTTATTATAGGATTGGAAAAATACTCCATAGATTTTATGACTTTAAATCCTTACTTCTGTTGATAATAACGAATTAAAGCTTTTAACCAGATGTTCTTTTTCGGCATTTTACGGCAAGACTGTTGAAGATTTTCTAGGGAAAAGGATTATTGTACCCAACTACCTACTACCTGCTTATAAATCCGCTCTCTACTAATAACAGAACAATAATTCCACTAATGCGACTTTTTTCATTCGCGGAATTTGCGCCTTAATTTTCCCTTTCTTTCTTTATCGTTTTACACGCAGTGTAATTCAATTTAAAAATTCGAAAAAATAAAAAGTGGAAGAAATGGAAAATCTAGAAATTGAAAATCGGAATTTGAGTAAGTTGAAAAATTAAAATATCGAAAAACTGAAAGAAAAAAAAAGTAAAAATTCCCAAAACTGAAATATCGAAAAACTGATAAATCGATAAATCGAAACATCGAAAACTCCAAAAATTGAAAAACCAAAAATGTGAATAATTGAAAAATTTGAACATTATTGAAAAATTGAAAAATCGAAAAATCGATTCACCGGCAATTCGAGAAATCGATAAACAGAAAAACCGAAAAATCTAAAAGTCGATAGAAATCGAGACTTCGAAAAATCAAAGAATCGAAAACGTAGGAACGCAAAAAATTGAAAATTTGTAAAATGGAAAAACTTAATAATCGAAAAACTGAAAAACAAAAAAGAAGAAATCGAAAAATCTAAAATAAAAAAATACCGAAATTAAAAAATCTAAAATTGGAAGAACTGAAAGACTGAAAATTATATCAATTGAAAGATCCCGGATATGAAATGTCGAAAAATTGAAAATTCGAAACATCGAAACACTGAAAAATCAAAAAATCTAAAAATCGAAAAGCCGAAAGATTCAGAATCCGAGAAATTGAAAATTTAAACATTGAGGAATCGAAACAAAAAGATCGAGAAAAATAATAAATTGGAAATTGAAAAATTTTAAGTTTAAATATCGAAAGATTAAAATATGTTAAAACTGAAGAATCCAAAAATTAAAAAATTGAGAAATCGAATTTTGAAAATTCGAAAAATTGAAAAATAAAAAAAGACGTGTAAATCCATAATAAACAAATCAAATTTTAATTTTTTATGGAACAATTTTAGAATCAAATAATTGAAAATTAAAAAAATATTGGAAACTGGAAAAATCAAGAAATCGAATTTTGAAAATTCGAAAAATTGAAATTTAAAGTAAGTACTCAAAAATTCATAATTAAAAAAAGTCAAATTTTAATTTTTTATAGGACAGCTGTAGAATCAAACAATTGGATATTCAAAAAAACAAATAACCATAATATTGAATAATTGAAAAATCAAGAAATCGAGAAATTGAAAAATAGAACATCGAAATATGAAAAAATCGAGAAGTTGAGTACTCAAAATGACCCAAACGGAAAACTAAAAATTGGAAAATGAAAAGTTAAAAATTTAAATATGGGGAAATTAAAACGTCCAAAATCTGAAGAATCGAAAAATTAAAAAATCCATAAGTTGAAACATCAAAAAATGTAGAAATCAAAAGTTGAAAATTTTAAAATTCGAAAAACTGAAAAATATAAAAAACAACTGAAAAATTAATAATTAAAAAAATCAAATTTTAGTTTTTTATAGAACAACTGTGGAATCGAACAATTCAAAAAATCAAATAACTGAAATAAGGAAAACTTGAAAAGATCAAGAAGTCGAGAAATTGAAAAATAGAACAGTCAAAAAATCGAAAAATTGAGAAATCGAAAAATAGAAAAATGAAGAAATCGAAAATCGACAAATCAAAAAATTGAAAATTTAGAAAATCAAACCATCGAGACATCGAAAAGTAGGGAAATCCAGAAATGGATATATCAATAAATCGAAAAATCGAAAATGTGCTTATTTAAGCGCTTATTCTTAATTTTTTGTGCTTATAAATCCGCTCTCTACTAATAACAGAACAATAATTCCACTAATGCGACTTTTTTCATTCGCAGAATTTGCGCCTTAATTTTCCCTTTCTTTCTTTATCGTTTTACACGCAGTGTAATTCAATTTAAAAAGTGGAAGAAATGGAAAATCTAGAAATTGAAAATCGGAATTTAAGTAAGTTGAAAAATTAAAATATCGAAAAACTGAAAGAAAAAAAAAGTAAAAATTCCCAAAACTGAAATATCGAAAAATTGATAAATCGATAAATCGAAACATCGAAAAATCCAAAAATTGAAAAACCAAAAATGTGAAAAATTGAAAAATTTGAACATTATTGAAAAATTGAAAAATCGAAAAATCGATTCACCGGAAATTCGAGAAATCGATAAACAGAAAAAACCGAAAAATCTAAAAGTCGATAGAAATCGAGACTTCGAAAAATCAAAGAATCGAAAACGTAGGAACGCAAAAAATTGAAAATTTGTAAAATGGAAAAACTTAATAATCGAAAAACTGAAAAACAAAAAACAAGAAATCGAAAAATCTAAAAAAAAAAATACCGAAATTAAAAAATCTAAAATTGGAAGAACTGAAAGACTGAAAATTATATAAATTGAAAGACCCTGGATATGAAATGTCGAAAAATTGAAAACTCGAAACATCGAAACACTGGAAAATCAAAAAATCTAAAAATCGAAAAGCCGAAAGATTCAGAATCCGAGAAATTGAAAATTGAAACATCGAGAAATCGAAACAAAAAGATCGAGATAAATAATAAATGGGAAATTGAAAAATTTTAAGTTTAAATATCGAAAGATTAAAATATGTTAAAACTGAAGAATCCAAAAATTAAAAAATTGAGAAATCGAATTTTGAAAATTCGAAAAATTGAAAAATGAAAAAAGAAGTGTAAATCCATAATAAACAAATCAAATTTTAATTTTTTATGGAACAATTTTAGAATCAAATAATTGAAAATTAAAAAAATATTGGAAACTGGAAAAATCAAGAAATCGAATTTTGAAAATTCGAAAAATTGAAATTTAAAATAAGTACTCAAAAATTCATAATTAAAAAAAGTCAAATTTTAATTTTTTATAGGACAGCTGTAGAATCAAACAATTGGATATTCAAAAAAACAAATAACCATAATATTGAATAATTGAAAAATCAAGAAATCGAGAAATTGAAAAATAGAACATCGAAATATGAAAAAATCGAGAAGTTGAGTATTCAAAATGACCCAAACGGAAAACTAAAAATTGGAAAATGAAAAGTTAAAAATTTAAATATGGGGAAATTAAAACATCCAAAAACTGAAGAATCGAAAAATTAAAAAATCCATAAGTTGAAATCAAAAAATGTAGAAATCAAAAGTTGAAAATTTTAAAATTCGAAAAACTGAAAAATATAAAAAACAACTGAAAAATTAATAATTAAAAAAATCAAATTTTAGTTTTTTATAGAACAACTGTGGAATCGAACAATTCAAAAAATCAAATAACTGAAATAAGGAAAACTTGAAAAGATCAAGAAGTCGAGAAATTGAAAAATAGAACAGTCAAAAAATCGAAAAATTGAGAAATCGAAAAATAGAAAAATGAAGAAATCGAAAATCGACAAATCAAAAAATTGAAAATTTAGAAAATCAAACCATCGAGACATCGAAAAGTAGGGAAATCCAGAAATGGATAAATCAATAAATCGAAAAATCGAAAATGTGCTTATTTAAGCGCTTATTCTTAATTTTTTGTGCTTATAAATCCGCTCTCTACTAATAACAGAACAATAATTCCACTAATGCGACTTTTTTCATTCGCGGAATTTGCGTCTTAATTTTCCCTTTCTTTCTTTATCGTTTTACAGGCAGTGTAATTCAATTTAAAAATTCGAAAAAATAAAAAGTGGAAGAAATGGAAAATCTAGAAATTGAAAATCGGAATTTGAGTAAGTTGAAAAATTAAAATATCGAAAAACTGAAAGAAAAAAAAGTAAAAATTCCCAAAACTGAAATATCGAAAAATTGATAATTCGATAAATCGAAACATCGAAAAATCCAAAAATTGAAAAACCAAAAATGTGAAAAATTGAAAAATTTGAACATTATTGAAAAATTGAAAAGTCGAAAAATCGATTCACCGGAAATTCGAGAAATCGATAAACAGAAAAACCGAAAAATCTAAAAGTCGATAGAAATCGAGACTTCGAAAAATCAAAGAATCGAAAACGTAGGAACGCAAAAAATTGAAAATTTGTAAAATGGAAAAACTTAATAATCGAAAAACTGAAAAACAAAAAACAAAAAATCGAAAAATCTAAAATAAAAAAATACCGAAATTAAAAAATCTAAAATTGGA